GTGTGGTCCGATTTCCCACAATCCCCCAGTGAAGGCAGGGGCCAGTGCACTGAAGAATGGGGGGGGGGGGCAGAGGGGAGAGAGAGAAGTGGGGGGAAGGGTGGGTGCAGAGTAGGAGCCATGACCTGACACTGGGACTCTGTGGTCAAAACGGAAAACAGGATACTGGGTTGACGGAGGTCATCCACATTAGTGGGACCAGTCATTCCTGTCAGCGCGATGCTGATTGCCTGGAATTTACTGGAATTGCTTTCAGGGAGAGGCCTTCGTGCCTCCAGAGCTACCAAACACATCGCACCAAACCTTGCCTTGAACATATCGATATTCATTCCTCCATCATAATCCTGCCCACCGTCCAAATTCACTTATCAAGTTGAGGTTGCGGTGATCCCAAGCTTCTTGACCAGAAAGCCCAGGGCGGGAGGTGATGTGGACGTAAGATACACTCTTTGCGATAAATAAGCGATGCACCAAGAGGGAACCCCCAACCCCTGAGGTGTGAGCACCACATCTACATCATGTTAATATGGGCTTTCGGCTGCTCAGGCCTCGCCACTATCGCTCAATAGACTTGTCAGGCTCGTATACGAAACACCTCCCTGGAATGTAATAATGGTATATGTAAAAATGGAGTCTTAGTGGATGTATCACCATGGCAACCCTTCAAGGTAGTCTATTTAAACGTCTCCAGACAGATGTGGATGTACTCTTAGATGCTGATTGGGATGCCATCGTAATGGACATTGATTTTGAATCAGATGCAGAGATAATGATAGCAGGTCGAGGAAGATACCACTTAGAAAGAGCCTAAAGGGATAAACAGGGAACGGTTTTAAGGGACACGACAGGAGCTAGAGGGTGTGGCATTTTCTTGCCAAAGAGAACATGGGATGTCGAACCTGAGGGCCTTGATGGCGGAGAGGCGCAGCATGGCGTGGGAGGCGCAGGCGACACAGTAACAGCCTCCCCTCCATCCTCTGTGCTCGCGGCTCCCGAGCGAAAATGTTTATTTGTCTAAAAAAGATCTACAAACAATCACTCTGCTCGACAGGAGAGAGGGTTTCCAGCCAGGAGGAGATTTAATTAGCAAAATCTCGTTAGGGCTAACGAAATTAAGCGTAAAACAATACTCGGCAGGACTCTGGGAGAGGCGGGAGGTGGGAGCGATTAAGGTCGGGAAGATATTGAGACAGTCGCTTGCATGCCGCAGGGAAGCAAATGGCTCGGAAGACCCGACCGCTCGAGTGCGCGATTAAATGAGTTCGCCGCTCTCTCGGTCTCCTGCAACATGACGGTCACCCAAGCTGTTTTTCTTTGTCGTTCTCCAAACTGCCCTGCCAGTCGTACAGAGCTCCCGCACCACGGTCATATTCTGTTCGTTCTAAGGCTTAAAGGGACGCGCAGCGCCTTAAGCTATCAGATTTGGCCGCAACTAAATCCCGCGCCGGGCGGAGTATCCAAGCATTTCGTCGCTGTCGAAATTACCACTTGTAAAGTTGCCAAAGGAGACATAATGAAGAAGCGCATCGCTTTGGTTTAAAAGTACGAAGGATATCAAATTTTTACTGAGATACATAATTGGTGGACGTCGGGGGGAACAGTCCAGATTTTCTGTTAGCCCTGTTCCAAGCTGTCCTGAAACAGTACCAAGTATTCCTGGAGATAGTTGGAGATATAGTGAGATTTCCTCAAACACCCTGCAGAGATCTGTTTTTTAGATCCAACTGTGAGATTTTCATCAAACACACAATATTAAAAATGTTAATGTATGTGTGAGTTTAATCACCAAGGATCGCATTTGTAATGTTGCTATCATGTTTTTTAAATTGGAAAACAAAAAAAAATGCAACACTACAATTTTTTTTTCACTGGTTCGGCGCACACCTTGATTAAAGACAGAGATGTGCCCTTCATGTCATTTCTGCTCTATTCGTCACTAGAGAAGTGCTTTATCTACTGATGCCCCCCGTTCTATTGCTGGGCAATGGAGGCATCAGAAATCAGGCATTATCCCAGACTGCTACTTTCACTTTAGCTATTTTAACTTGTTAAATTTAAATGAAACCTGTTTGTTTCAGATAAACATTCAATAGAGCCCACGAGGCAATAAACGTATAGGCAATTAAATAAGCTTCTGACGTAAATGCAGTACTAAATAGATGTTATGTATAAAGCTGATTAATAACTTACACTAAATTTATCGGCAATAGTAAAATTTTCAGTATCTCCCCTGTTCTCTGCATGGACCAATGTCACCTCCTCAAGGTACCAGCCTGCAAAATAACTCATTCAGTTTGCAGTCATCATGTTTCACTTTTCCCAACTTTGTAAAGCACATAACTGCACAGCAATTTGCGACTAGAAGTATAGCAAAATGCTTTAAGTGGACGCTGCGTTGGTGTACAATGGAACTTCTACCCGTCGTTGGATGGGCCTGCTGACTGAGTGGTGCAGCGATGGTTTGGCGCGTTTGTACTTTAAGGGAGCACGTGTCACTGGCGAAGCTCGTAAGGGGCATATGTTGCCGGGGGAGAGCTGCCGGGTGAGGACATGCAATCCACAGGCCTCATCAGAGTGAGATGGCAGGTTAGTAGGGGATGTTTCTCAAGTTTCTCCCAGTTACAAGGAAAACATTTTCACCCTCTGTAATCCTTATAGAGACTCCTGAAGTCTTGGGCCTGAGCAAGCGGTCAACCCTGGAGTCCAGGCCCCCTGGGACAGACCCGGCCTTCCTGTTGACGTCAAAGTGAATTACAGTGGGCCGCTCTGGTGCAGCTCCCCCCGGGGGGCGGGAGGGCTAATCGCTGTGTTCCTCACAAACCACAGAGGAAGTTTTAGCATTCCAGGAGTGTCGACCCACCGCCTTGACCCCCTCAGCCAGCTTTGCCTGGCCCCTCAAAAAACACTGAGCCCTGCAGAAGGTCCTCCGAAAAGTCTCCACCAATCACAAGACTCTAAGTCAAACTGACTCCGCCCATCACGGCTCGATAGGCCAAACCTCCCACCGTCAAGGAATTCTTCATAAACTCAAACAGTGGGAATAAAGAGAATCTCTTTTCATAAAACTTCAGGTTTATTTATGCTGTTGGACTTTGTTCCGTTTTATGCACTCGTATTATAATTCACTTCAATGGGTTTTAGTAATCAATGTCATACGCATATACAGTATTTTATTTGGAAACTCAAACTGTTGCCACAACAGGTCTGAATTAATACGACCACCTGGTTCTCCTTCTTTCCAGAACGTGCCGCAGTCCACACGACGCAATCCGTTGATCTGTTTTGATTCAATTAGACGGAGCCTGATGCTGTAAGAATTTCTGCTCAGTGTCCGTAGCCACATTTCAAATTCGTTTCCTGGGGCTGGTAAAATTTAAAAGGTTCCACGTGGACAGTATGCCTTTCAAAGGAACTTAATTCCTTGAAATGCCCCCCCACTCAAATGGTCCAGCAACCGGGGGGTCTTTTCCATTCCACTAATAGTAAAAATTTATAGGAATTAGTGACCTGCTACTGAAGCTTTTTACTTACTCAGAGTACCGTGCATTTTCCAGCAAACACAACGGGAAATGAGCTTGTTAAAGAAAAACATTGATGTGCTTTTATTCTCCTTTGAGATGTTTCACAAAGAAACTTCCCCCACCCCCCAAATGCATTTGAACTGAGGATTTCCCATCTCTGTTCCACACAGGGGAATTTATAGTTTATTAACTCCATTGTGCTTAACTTTTATTTTTGGAATCATATTGAAGATCTTGTCATTGTCACACAGTGGGTGTACTGTTTCATGTATTAATGCATTTCAGTCTATTTAGATCTCTAACTGATGCCTTTCTATCTAAAGCAACTTACAATTTAGCTCTTTTATATAGTTGGAGATTCTACTGGTGCAATACAAGTTAGGTACCCTACTCTAGGGTACAACAGCTGAACCCTCCTGGGCACTGAAAGTGGCCACCATGCATTTACAACTTCAACCCTCAAACACCACACTTCAGGCTTCCTCCACTGAAATCTCTACAACAGGAATAAAGAAATAAAGGAAAGTTTAAATATGAATATACCATGGAAAGGTCCCTGTTCAGCTGACGTAGGTCAAAGCTGAGATATAGTGGTGGTAGGACACATTTCCCACAATCCCTTGCCAACAATAGCCCCCCAGCTGTTCAAAGTCTGTGATAACAACAGCTGCTATGAGGTCTGGAGCTTCTTGTTACTATGACAACGCCAGGCTGATTCATATTCATAGTCCTTCTAATAAAGTAAGTGACATTATACTATAATTTGGTTTCCATAAAACATAAGAAGAGAGAACTGGGCCTCTCTGAGTCGGAATGTCTAGCTCAAAATAGGTAATTAATTTTCTATTCCTGGTAAACCTCGGTAACCCTGCTGCACCCACACAAGATACACAGTTGACGATCGATGCAAATAGAAACACACGCTTTCTCATGTGTCAAAACTAAGAATAGGCCAGCCGCTGAGACCAGATTTGGCCGTAGCTTTGAATATTACATGACAATATCTTCGGCCTATCGGTGTGGGGCTAGGAAGGTGTGCTGCTTTAGTGAAACAGATCAAACACCATTGAAAAGTCACGAGCAGAAATGGCATGGTGCATGAAGGTTGCCCACAGGTCTGGAAAGATCCGGTCGAAGAGGAGACCAGGAAGGATACAACATTAAAGCCAAATAATGAACTTTAAAGACTGCTCTTCTGTTAAAACAAGCACTAGTAATCTGCCTCACAACACTAGAAGAAAACAGAGATTCATTTGGCAAAAGGTATTTGAAAACGCTTCACAATCAGAATCGAAACTGAACTGCAGCTTTTTAAAAGTAAATTAATTTACACTGTGTACTGAGAAACGGGTGAACCACATCCAATACATGTTTTGAGCTTACAGAGCATTGCCAAATGCCAGCTGGTGCTTCTGAAGTACAGGTTGCACCGGTGTCACAACTCTACGGCGCTTTTCAAGAGTCTTCCTGAGCACTGACCATCAGATACAAGTTCCGGAACGTTCCGCACCCTGGGTTGGTTGTGTCGACATCAGGCACTGGCCTCGCCATGGGACCCAGGACATTTTGAGGACATCCCTGCAAAACGGGACCCTACGCTCCACATTGCTGTCCGCCTCTGGCCACTTAATGGGAGATATTAAATGTCATCTTTGCTGAGCTTCTGCTGAAAGAAGGGATACCTTTGGAAGTGGGCAGTGGTGGGCATGTCACTCTCCAGAACATGAGAAGGGACTATGCTCCCATCTGAATGTGCACACTAGGGTGTGATCAACACCTTGTGACTGTTCCAGGAAGCTCCGCTGTAAGCGACTCAACTGAAGTGCCGTACTCGGTCCGAGCATTTGAACAACGCAACCAGTTGGCTGTCAAACACGATGCTTAATATGCTACTGTTCAAATAACACGCGATACAGACGGGTGATTGTTAAATGCTACACAGAATCTCTGGCTTTTATCAGCCGTAAATCTCAAATGAACAGCATTCCCAAAAAAGCCGCACAAAGCACCAGATGTTAAAAATGCTTTTTCCCCCAGTGTTGTTTGATGTTTAAATGGTGCTTCTCCTTTCCGCAAGATAATTCTGCATGGATCAACAACTCCTATTAACCCCTAAAGAGAATGTTGAAAATGTGACAAGGCAGATACTATTTTGTCACTTACATATATCTAAGCATTCCCAATTAAAGTATTTAATATTTATAGTAGGCCTAATCATAATCCATCACTACAACTAAATTTTATTCACATAGCCATTTTTTCTCTGCCTAGAAATGTTACGTTGTTATACATTGTTAGGAATTGCTGCACTAGTAGACTTGTGTTGCTGGTGAACAATTTCTTTAATGAATCTTTTTGAATGAAATGTTCCACAAGAGGAGTGGCATGGTGGTGCAGTGGTTAGCACTGTTGTCTCACACCTCTAGGAACTGGGTTCAAGTGTCCGCGAGGATTCCATGTGTGTGGAGTTTGTATGTTCTCCCTGCGTGGGTACTCCAGTTCCCCCTCCATAGTCCAAAGACATGCTGAGGCTGACTGGCATTACCACACTGCCCATAGGTGCGTGTGAGTGTGCCCTGTGATGGGTTGGCACCCCATCCTGGGTTGATCTCTGCCTTGTACCCATAGGCTCCAGACCCTCTTCAACCCTGAATAGGATAAATGGCTTCAGAAAATGGATGGATGGCTGTTCAATGAGTTTGTTCACTGTGCGATTCTTCGTTCACTGCAACATTTATTTTGTACGCTATGTGATTCCTTGTTAACTGAGTTGCTCTTCCATCATTTCATTCAGTGAGTATTTGTTCATTTCATTCACCAAGTGATTCTTTGTTAATTTCATTCAATGAGTGATAGGCCTACTAAATTCACTGAGATTCGTCGTTCATTTAGTTTACTTGTGATTCTTCGTTAACTGGATGATTCTTCTTCATTCATTTCGTTCTCCATTTGTTCATTTTGTTTAGTGTGTACTTCTTTGTTCACTCAGTGGTTCTTTGTTCATTTTGTTCACTCTGTGACACTGTATTCACTGAGATATTCATCTTTCATTTCGTTCAGGTGTGATTCTTTGTTTACTGAGTCAGTCTTCGTTAATTTTGTTCACTAAGTGATTTGTAGTTCATTTTGTTCACTGAGTGATTAGTTCTTGGAGTGATTCTTTGTTCAATCAATTGTAGCTACACAATTTAATAAATATACATGAAACAGTGATAATACCATTTTAATAAACATAAAAAAACATTTGCCAAAATATCTAAGATATGAAAATATCCAAGATGGACCCACTGGGAGGGAAAATGAATGAAGGAAAGTAAATGAATGATTCTGAACAAATCTTTTAGCTGAACAAACTCAAAAGAATCAATTCACCGAAAAGAATCTCAATTTACATCTCTATTCACATTTTTAATCCCTTTTTAAATCACTGTAAACAGTTTAAAGTTGAAAATTCAAATAGGATACATTTAAATACTGTAGTAATTGTTGAGGATAAAGTTTAATACCTTTTAAGCAGTCTAAGTATGCTCATAATTAATTAAGGCAAGGTCAATCTGTACTGATATGAGGGTGAAATTATTCATATTTTAATGTCTCTCGTGTACTTTAAATGGCACGTTTAACGCACATGATCTGGAACTAAGTTCTATAAAAAGTTTTTAATGCTCTGCATTTGGAGATACTTCAGTTCAGCTTGGCGCACCGCGCGCTGTTGGGGTAAAGGGGGGGGGAGGTGGAATTCCAGGGAATTAAAGGGGATTCAGAGGACAATGGCTGCTATTCCGGCAGGGGTAAGGGAACTCGGCTTGGCGTCGGGGGTGCGGGGGTGGTTTTAGCCACCGCGTTTAACGAGTAGGCAGCTGATGCAGACAGCTGTGCCAGACGCAGTAGAGGGCACACGGCTACGGGCGCAAGCTCCCCCCCATAAACAGACACGCACACACATACACACTCAAACACAGCAACAAGGCAACCTCAGTGCCCTGCCACCTTTGCCCCCAGCTCCTGTGATCTCACACGCTGTCTTTAACGCACTTTTTGCATGCTACAAACTTTGTTTCACACAATATCTGCCCTTTTCGTGGTACTGTTTGTATGATGAGCCCCCTAATACGACAGAATACACCATGACCGTTTCCTAAGACCATCGATTCACCAGCGCCGTTCTGTTTGTTTTGAAAACATCGATTTCTTGCCGCGTCTGGGGGCTTCGTCCTCCAGTCGGAGCGACGCTCTGCTCAGAAACGGCACAAGGCCCGACTGGAAAAGGACCCGGCGTGCTAAATATATCCCACAGCGAGCCGATGAGTCAGGTAGGTTTGAAAACAGTTTTTTCTATCACCGCTGTGGTCTGATCCCCTTTGCAACACCTTCCCCTCCTCTGCCACCTCCTCATTCCAAAACTGTTAGCGGAAGCATGGTCAGATTTTAGCACGAGATGACTAACGACTGTAAACTACAGTAATCAGCCAGTTACTTTACTACAAAGGATGCTGGGAAAAAACAAATGGGTTGGCAGGGAGATCATTTCTGTCTGTCAGTGATTTGAAACGTGCGCCAGAACCTTGTTAAGGGACGAGAATAGTGCCCTCAGCGATGACTGCACTGTCTGTTTTTCCGCGGCTCTGTGTTCTTACAGCACAGGCGCGGAGATAGCCATTTTGCCCCCCCCCCCCCCCCCACACACAGCAGCCCCCGCTGTTCAGGGCAGGCTGAGCCCATGCTCCCTTTTGCTCTAGGCGAAGCGAGCTGGCTGTCCGCCAGGCACAGGCCGAGCATACCCACCCCCCCTCCCCGCCCCCATCGTTCCAGACAGTGGCCGCCTGCGAGCTTCCTGCCCCAGGGGGAGATGGGAAGGCCGCTTTGCTTGGGTTCCTCCGCGTGAGGCAGTTTTCAGAAACTCCCGCCATAACTCAGTTGTGCCACTCTGAGGGACTAGTCGGGGGAGGGGGGGGGCAGGAGCTTCACTAAAAAGGAAGTATGGGGCACGTTAAAACACAAGCGCGTGTTAGGATGGATTCCGTGGCAGCCGTCCATCTTCCTGATCAGGCAGAAATGCCGCAACCCCCCCCCCCCCGGCAGGGAGGTGGCCATGACAGGGATTGACCTTTCGACAGGATGGGAGGGGTACACCCTCTCTCTCTCTCCCTCTCTGGCCGCCGTCACTTTTTAAAAGGTTGTGTCATCTTCAAGGAGGCATCCAAGGCGGCGAGAGCCGCGAGCTGTGAGCAAGTGCCGGTATTAAATGTCTATAGCGGGTGTATAAATACCTTTGCTGCGGGGGCGTCTGCCAGAAACCAGGGCCTTCAGCCAGAATGTTACACCGCCCGCTTCCAAATGTGTGTGTGTGTGTGTGTGTGTGGGGGGGGGGGTCACAAGGCAGGTGCATGGAAACTCGCCGCAGCACGTTCTGCAGGTTGCGGTCAGCCTTCCCAATCCGCCACTCGGAGAACATGGCAGGGCTGAAGGGCCCCCTTGGTTTGTCTGGCTCAGCCCCCTCCCCCTTTTGAGAGACTGCTGTCTTCCCCCAAAGTGCCGGTCATTCTATCATTGAGCTGGCAAAACCCCAAGAGCATGTGAAAGAACTGCCCCCCCCCCCCCCGCCGATATGGTAACAGCTGTTTACGTTTTACTTTTAGTGCGGGCTGTTCTGAAGGCCTTTCACCAGGTGCCTCTGTGATGGGTGACTGCCAGGTTAAGTACTGCGACCATTTCCCCCTTACAGTCGAGCGCTTTCTCTGGCGATTCGGTCACTCAAGTTACACTTCCTAAATCATATTTTATATTATGTTGAAATGCTGCACATTAACAGTTCGGAGCTTATGAAAGGTTTATCGGAGTAAGGTAAAGAATCTGAATGTTTAACCACCGAATCTGCTACATGCATCAGACTTTGGTTAACGTTATCAAAAGTAGGCTGGAGGTTAACGGACACTGGGCTGTCAGTCTTCTGGGGGAAAGGGCGTCAGCATCACTAACGCAAGCAGCAGACCGGCCGTCGAAGAGTGATCCCAGCATTACACGAGCCTGCCAACTGGTCCAGCTCCTAAGGTCCGAGGAATAAAACAGGAAATCTCCTTGCTACACCGGTGGCTCGAACGGAGATATATTCAAGTGATGGAAAAACAAACAGAGGGTACTTTCCAAAAAAAAAAAAACAGGCTGACGACTCTCCAGGATGTTTTCAAATACCACAGTAATCTTAGTCCCTAGTGAAAGCATTCCTAGTGAGAGCAGGTAGTAGAACAAAAAAGCCTGACACTGTCAGACTGGCATTTTGAGATAGTTACACATAAAGCTGTCAAGCATGACATTGGCTCAGAACAACGAGAAGCGGTGATGCAAAAGGGCAGCTATGACAACATAAACGTTGCCGAGAGCAACGGAAATCTAACTTGGCATTTTTGGTGAATCTGAAAATGAAGGCACAGTTTACTCAGTGGCTGTAATTTATGACTGCAGAGACAATATTCGAATTTGAACCCTAGCGTTAAAACCTGACATGAGAAACGTAAAGTCTCCCTTATATATACAATGTAACATATACATTTATGCGTGAATATATAGATATTTTTACGATTATGTTTCATTAGTAGCAAACTAAACAAAAAAAAAGCCAAATAGCTTTTTTCTTTTAACATAACATGATAATGTTCTATGCTGCTATTTTTTGTTGTCAATTTAAAGATTTTGTTCTTTTTCCTTTGCCAAAGAAGCATCAGATAACATGGAAATGATGCTTGATAACTTTGACGGAATCTCTGAGAAAGTTCCTAATTGCGGCTTTGGTAGCTAGCCAAGATAGGTAATAAGACAGGTGATTAATTATATTTGGCCTTCTCTCTAAATGAGCTATCTAGCTAACAAAAGAAACTTGGCTAGCATGCTGAGTTTTCCACCAGCTTCTACAGAGCTAATAGCATCAGAGTGCTAACAGCAGTTGGGTCTTTAAATACCCATTAAAACCTCTTGTTTTGTCTGCCTTGTCAATGTTTTAATTGAAAAGTACACAATTTCCCAGTTCCACTTCCCGCATTATACCCAGCATAGGCCACACCCTTTCCCACAGATACTTACACAAGAAATATTACCAGCAGAAACATAAAGGGTACAGAAAATGCTCCCAAGCACTTTTGTTTACAGGATATGCTAACCGGCGATCTAGGAGAAAACAGGAAACGTGAGCACACTTCAAAAAGGACTAATCCATGAAACACATGTGAGTCATAAAAAAAGTGACAACACATAAAACTCGATTTCAGCAGGATCATTTTTCAAAATGGCACATTTGCTGAAGCCCAGAATGTTAAACAATGTGTGGCACAGTTTCACAGTTATTATGGCCTGGCAAAGGCAGAACACGCCTCTCCATGATAGGTTGCGCTTAGGAAAAAAAAACAGAAGTATTGCTCTTCTAGTGGAAGTAAGGAGATGCCTAGAATCTCACCCAGAACAAGAAAAGTTGGGGGTGTGTGGGGGGGGTAATGTGCCAAATAGTCGCTCTGTTAATGGGAAGCAGGCAAAACATGTATGGAAAACGACCGCAGTTTAAATCAGCGATGACAAGCGGTTTGCTCTGCGAGACCCGTGATTACAAGTCCTCCGTAACACTTGTTCGTGGGAAAAAGTGTGTTCACCAGGAACGTGGAAGCCAAAAAGCTCACTGTCTTCTTGCCTCAGTAGTTTGGGACCTAAAACAGCTCTTGTTTCAAAAGTATCTTTTAGGGAATCGCTTACTGAGACCAAGGAGGTAACATAAACCACTAAGTAGCGACTGGGAATCAAGACCTAAAATTTGTCGTGTCAGTTTTTAAAACCTTATGAACCCCTGGCAGGAATGCTTGATGTGAATTAGAATGGTGGTAAATTGGAACTATTAAAAATCTTAGTTTGTAAACTTAAGTAAAACAAAACATATCTAAGATGACCTCCCTAAATTTCTTTTGCCAGGTTTACAACTCCAGGGAAAAATTCCAAGTTTGTAGCTCATTATGAGATAAAAGAAAGACAGTGGAACAGGGCCACGGATGAGCGAAAGATATATATTTTCCTATGCCTGAAATTAAGCAAACAAATTCCTTCGCCATGGACTCTGACTGAGCTCCTTTTGCAGAATGTTTGCGAAATGGAGGTCAGGCTGTATATTTTTAAAAAGTCCGGTGGAAAGAGACTCTAAATCATATCATATGTCAATGGCAGAGAAAGCGCAGGGCTTTGAAATGTCCCTGAGGTCCATAATGCCTTGGACACACATTACATAAGACGGATAAAAAATAGCTTCCCTTGAAGGTATATGGAAAACAAGAATGTAATATCACATGAAAAATACATTCTCTAAAAATATCTGGCAGTCTTGTTTTTCTTTTTTTTCCAGAGGCATAACGTAACGTTACCATCTTGGGAGAATCTTTCCAGACATCAGGAGTCAATGATGGCCAATAAGCGACAGTGATGTGTTTTACTGTTTTCTGGACCGCCCGTAATCTTCTGTACTTTTTACAGCCTTTGGCAATCCAGCATGCAAAACACCTCAGCACCCTACTGCTGAAAGAGATACTGATTATGAACTTTGGGAAGCTTCATTAATGAGCTGCAGTCTGAGGATGAAGAGCCACTGGATGTGACCCTATGCCAGAGGAGAATCTGCTCACAAATGTTATTCCCCGTCTAGGCTGTGTCCAGTAAGATGATACTCCGAGACATTGGCAGGAAAACATTTACTGAGGGGAAAAAACTTGCTTTAAATGATGTCATTTGGGCAGACAAAGGGGGAAACAAACATCGTTTTTATGTACCCAGATTCATTTCATGACAGCATTTCGCGCAACTTCCCATTAAACAGTACCATGAAAATCATGTATTTGGTTCCAGAAAATGTTCTAGTGAAATGAAAAAAATCAGTACTTACTTTTGACCATAAGCATTGTGTGATATCCATTATGTGTACGAGACATAACTGAACTTCCCCATTGTAAAGCTGTTTTTGACATCACTCAAAACAAGATCAAGGAACCGAAACAAATCCGGAAATGTTAATTTGTGTTTGTTGTGTTCTGTTCTGTGATTATTTTGGAAAACAAATGTGAAGATTGTCTATGGTGGCATTTTCTTTGCTTTGATCTTAAACAGAATTCAAACTAAATATTCTCAACCTTTCCCTTTATTTATTTTTTTTGTGCAAGCCCTCGGATATAATAAATTTAGAATTTGCAGGCAAGCAGACCTCATATTCCTCTCAGTGTGACTGCATTAATTTATAGGGATTATCAGCATTCCACCAGAGATAAGAACAAAAGAGCAAGATGGCTTTGCTGCTGTATTCCAAGACTTTAGACGCAGCTTTAATAATCACATGTTGCTAATTTGATTAGGCCTTTGATCTTTGTGCAAAAGTAATTATTCCCCTCTCTAAAATGCTTTTTTTTAATTATTATTATTTCATTTACAGAAGCAACAACAAAAACAACAATACAACTAATGAAAACAATGTGCCAGTCGAAAATATTAAACCCTATTTTGTGGTTGCGCCGAACGGCAGTATTCTTTCTCGAATGCTATACCCGTGTGGGCTCATTTCAGCCATGTATGTGCAGCCATGTATGAACTGTCACGATCATCGTGGCCATTACCAAGTTATTTCACATTAACTGTCAATCCTGGTTGTCATGATTAATGGGTGTGGAGTATTTCTTATGCTATAATGTTAGAATCCATTTTACCTATAAATCTCGACTTATATTTCCTAAACACTTGCCCATGATCCACAAAATGCTACCCCCAAGGACCCATGCGGGGGAAAAAAAACAAACTTGCCATCTCCTGAAGAATTTTACGTTAATGCCCAATTAAGGCTTTTCTGTAGGCTGTACAGATCTCCCATAATCAGTTCTGTTTTTGAAAAATTAAGCGGCTGAATTGATCTTTCCCATATATATTAATGCTGAAATTAGTGAAGAGTAAGTGACTGTACATGACATTATGAATTTGTTACATCTATTACATTTGGCATTACTGTTTAAACCATCCTAGTGGGTACACATCACCACTCTACCATCAATACTAGTGTGAGCTATCAGCTTTAATTTTGTTGGCCAACCATGTTAATATACATCACTTCCTCACCATTAAGGGAACCTGATTGGGAAGGGGGGGGGGGGGGGATAGTCTTCAGGATCCTTTTCCTCTCTTGCAATTTACATCAGCCATTTGTCCAGTATTTATTCTCAGCCTACAGTCAGAAGCTGGCTGCTTTTTAAAACCCTTTTTTCCTTCCAGATGAAGAAATCCGGAAACAACACCTGCTAAACAGCATATAAATATTTATACCAGAGTCCTGCATCAGATTGTACTCCAGAAAGCCACGCCTCAGCATCTGTTAAACTGAGATGCGGAGGATACACAGCTAGAAGCCGACACTAGCTGAATGGTGTCTTTAACAAAATATAGATACATATTTACAATGCATATTTTTATAGGCCAATATTGATGCTATGCACACAAACTGCTGGTTACATTAACACTGCCTAAATTTGACACATTTCTTGAAGTGTTGATAGATCTGTCTTATAATTGCAAGGCAGGAATCCTAATTATAATGAATAATGCTGTAAGAGATGTATTCAGTATCATCTAGGTATAACCACAGTGTTACTGAACCTCTGTTGTTGGTACTGAAACCTCAAAAAGACATGAAATATATCTTTATGAAAGAATGCTCCCTGGGATAGGCTCAATCCCCCATCCCCCCCCCATCCTCACAAACGGATAGATTTTTTT